TGCTTGTAATCTTGTTTTTTAGTTGAGATGGGTAATTCCTCCAAAGTATCTATTCTAAGACAATCTTTCTTGTCTTCTGGTTGTTGTACAACTTCAAACAGATTAAAATTATCTTCATCATCTCCACTTCTAATTTTCAACTTGCCCATATCAACATCTATAATTACTTTTGTTGTCTTCATGAAAGGTCTTCCCAGTATAAGAGGAACTTCAGTGTCTTCCTCCATATCCATCACAACAAAATCAACTGGAAACATAAATTTATCAACTCTGACCAAAACATCCTCCGCCACACCATAAGTGAATTTTAGAGATCTGTCAGCTAACTGCATTGTCATTCTAGTAGGCTTTACTTCTTCCAAGTCTCCTATTCTTTTAAGCATAGACAAAGGCATTAGATTTATACTAGCACCCAAATCAAGTAATGTCTTACCTACTTGTAATGTCCCAATTGTGACTGGTATAGTGAAACTACTAGGATCCTTGGACTTTTGAGGTAATGATTTCTGAATTATAGCGCTGCATCCTGCTTCTAGCTCCATTATTTCTGTAGTAAATCTCCTTTTCTTAGTTAACAACTCTTTCATGAATTTTGCATAAGTCAACATCTGCTCCATAGCTTCCATAAATGGAATATTAATTTGTAAATGCTTGAAAATATCCATTAATCTTGCAAACTTCTTTCTTGGAAGGATGACGAGGATATGGTAAATCCTTTAGTTGCGGTATTTGACTTTCATCTTTCTCCCTCTTTTTCTCATTTTTTTTTATTTTTTTCTTCTTTTTCAATAATTTTTTCTTTTTCTATATTCTCACTTTTATTTTTCACTTTTTCTCCTTCAAACTCATATTTCTTCTTTTCATCCTCTTTTTTTTGTAGGATTTCCTTCTCTACAGCCAGGTTCTCACCAATCCCTTTTCCTATAACCCTACCACTCCTTGTAGTTATTGAATTACATTGCTCCCTGGGGTTGGTTTGTGTGTTAGCTGAAAATTGTCCTCCTTGTTGTAACTCAGATAATTGCTTAGCCAGTTGGCCTATCTGGGGTCTCTATATTTCTGAATGAAGCCTCAGTATTTTTCTGATTAGCCATAGTGCATTGCATGAATTTTTCTAAAGTATCCTCCAATTTACTCATTCTGTCAGGCATTGAAGGATAACGTTGTTGCTACTGTTGATATGGAGGTTGCTTATATGACTATTGTTGAAATGTAAGTTGTCTAGTAGATGAGATAACACCTTGGTTCCACCCAAAATTCTGATTTTGATTTTGATTTTGATTTTGATTCCCTCTCTATCCTTGTGCAAAATTATTCTGATAATTATTGGGATTAGAAAAATTACCTTGTCTGCCTTGACTACTACCTTGAGCACCCATATAATTAGCTTCTTCTTATTGAATGTTGCCTTGATAAGAACATTGTTCATTTGCATGATCACCTCCACACATCACAACTCATCTTTTGATTAGGAATGAATTGTACTGTGTGCATTTGTTGAGGTAATTTCTCTATTTTTTAGTTTAATGCTTCAATTTTTTGAGTCAAAATTTTATTCTGGGCTAAGCTAGCATCTGAGGTGTTAAGTTCAAGAACTCCCTTTCTTTGAACTAGATGTCTATCATGTTGGGTCTGTTGGTCTGTAAAAGCTAATGCATCAATAATTCTTGTGGCATGTTCAATTTCTACATCCAACATGGATCCTCCTGTTGCAGCCTCTAATAACATTTTTGTATCATGTCGCAAGCCAGTATAGAAAATATTCAACTGAGTAATGTCATCAAATCCATGATTTGGGCATCTTCTTAACAGTGATTTAAATTTCTCCCATGCTTCACAAAAAGATTCATCTGCTCCTTGTCTAAAAGAAGTGATGTTAGATTTTGCTTTGATGTAGCGGGATGATGGGAAAAATCTATTCAGAAACTTCTCTTCTACGCTACTACAATTAGTCAAACTCTGATTAGGATGTGCCTTCAGCCACTCCTTTGTCCTACCTGCCAAAGAAAAAGGAAATAATCTTAAATATGCATATTCAAGATTTGCTGATCTAAATCCCATGGTACCAATCAACTCATAAAAAGTAGAGAAATGAATGTAAGGGTCTTCATGATCCAATCCAATGAATTGATGAGCATTAATCAAGCTTAAGAAAGCTGGATTCATCTGCAATGTCTGATCATCCGGTTTGGCAATGCTTGAAAAGTGTCTTGGACCTTGCTGCATAACATAGTTTCTGAGAGTTCTTCTAGGCGGATTTGAATCTGGATTATGATTTGGATTTGGATTTGGATTCAGATTTTCTCTGTCTTCTTCCATATCTTCTATAATTGGATCTGGTAAATTAAGTGTGGAAGAAAATTTGGCAGATTCTCCTGTGGCTTGTTCTTGAGTTTCCCTTCTTCTTCTACCCCGGTTCCTCCGAGCTATTTTTTCAATCTCTGGATTAAATTCTAACTGCTCTGAAGATACATGTCCTCTTAAACACATAAATCAAAAGAATAACTCAAGCAAAGATTAGCACAAACCAATAATTAAGTAAAACTAAAACAGAAAAATAAAGCAAAAACAGAAATAAAAATAAAATACTCAATAAGCTAAACAAAGAACTCTCAAAGAACATCGTTCCCCGACAACGGCGCCAGAAATACTTGTTGAATTATTGGCAAGCGTACCAAAATTATCAATCGCAGTATAGTATTTCGATTAAATAAAAGTTGATCCCACGAGGAAGGGTTTCAATGGAAATTCCCAATTATATGCTTACTAAGTAGATTAAAACAGAATGAGTTTTGCATAAAGAGTTGAATTGAAATTAAATGACAAAGAACTGTAAATTGTTGATAAAATATCAATTAAAGGCACTTAAGATTGACTTCCTTCCTTATCCCTCTTTTGTAATGACTATGTCAATTAAGAACGTCAATTAACCTAATAATGTTGATTCCACCTACTCAAGTCATCCATGTTGATTCCTCACACATGAAATTCATAAGAAAACCTAATAAATGTTGATTCCTCACACAATTAAGAGATTTTCCAGCATTAGGTTTAGGGTGTTAAGCAATTGATACATTCATTTCATTCCTGGCAATTAACGTAACAAATATTATTACCGTGATTTAGGGTTCAAGATATATTTTCCAATCATACCCCAAACATCAAGAATAAATCATTCTAAAGCACAAAGGATAAGAATAACAACATCAAAACATAAATTAATATCTCAAAATATCACCATGATACAAAAGAGTTTAAAGGAAGTGCACCAAATCCTAAGAGAATGAAGTTAACCACTCATGTTGGCCATTACAATACTCCAAATGTGGAAGAAGTGAAGAATTGATGAAGATTGGATGAAACCCTAGCAGTAGTCACACCTCTTCTTTTCCAAAACTGCTTCCTTTCTCAAAACACATCTTATCTTTTTATAAGAGAATTTGGGTTGGGCCTCACATCATTCATTCGCTTAAGCGTTATTCTTTCTTTCAATTTTTCTTCAATTACTTCACAATTATGATCTTTGCTCTTGTATCAAGGTATTCTCGAATTCATACTATATTAGGAGAAGAATAGATTAGAATTAACATAAGTTAAGTGATTTTATAACAATTCAAAGTATAATTATATCAACTTTTTACCACTTAACACACACATATGATCAGTAATAGGAATTCTTCCACCATCTTCTTCTGCCATTACACCTATTTCATCTCTTTCATTTACTCTTGTCTCCCTGTGTAGAAGCCAAAATGTATACCCTTTTGGAAAAGGTTTAACAATCAAGTGCTCATATACTACTTCACGAGATTGCCATTTCTTAAAGTTGCATTTCTGACATGGACATATTATCTTTCCACTAACACCAATATTAGTGAATGCAAAGTCCAAAAATGTATTCAATCCTCTCATATATTGAGTTGTATTTCGAGGCATGTTTATCCATGATTTGTCCATTAAAAATAAGGTTTGTTCATGATAAGAGGATTGGAAGATTAGAATAAGTCACCATATTCATGTATGTTTATTACATAAGAAGAATTTGTTGAAAGTCATATAAAACGATTAATGATTTTGTATGCCTTCTTCATAGAAGCTTAAAGAAGATTTAAAAACCAGTACAATCTGAACTAGTTATAAAACTAAGTAGCAAACCTGCTTAGTTATAAAATTGATGAGTGAAACAGTCCTACTTATGAAATTGAAGACTAAAATAATTAAACAATAAGTAACAACCCTTCTTTGTTATAAAAAATTGTTTACACATAGAATTAAACACTAAGTAACAGACCTACTTAGTTATAAAATTTAAGAGTGAAAGAATAAAACACTAAGTACCAAACTTACATAGTTATAAAATTAAACTGGTTTTAAACCAGTTAGGAAAATGATCATAAAAAATTAATTTAAAAACTAAACAGTAATAATAAGTAAATAAGTAAAGATAAGCACGTAAGTATAACTTGGGTAAATATGTAAATATTGTCCACTTTTTGTTGTGTCATATATATATATATATATATATATATATATATATTCTTTTTTAATTTAGATCTAGTTCTCTAATTTTTTCAATTATCAAAATCAAGTTGCTAATTTTTAATTAATTATTAGAACTAAGTTCTTCAAACTACTTTTCTATTATTTGAAGAGTCTCAAGTTTCAATTTTACTTTTTTCTTTCTTTCTAAATTTTAGTATTAGAAAGTGATAATATATATTCGATAATTATCACAAATGATCATTGATCAATTAAAATGTAATTAGAGACCGACTTTCATTATTAATGTTTGTAAAACCTTTAATGTGTTTATTTTCTTCACAAATACCATAAAATAATCATATGTGTATATGACAAATTCTGGTAGATGTTTTCTTAAACCTAATAAATAATAATATGAAACTTGGCATCTACACCTACTTGCCTAACTTAGAGGAGATAGATACAGTTCATGCAATCAAAGAAGTTCCTCCTAATAATATGTAAATACGTGGCAATGATTATGGAGGTATTGGAATTTTGTTTATGCTCATGAGGTTTTCAGCATGTTCCAGATCTCTCTACATTCACTTGTAGAAAAGCCAAAACTTTAAAGTATAAGCTATCTTAATTATTTTATAACTAACATCCAAAGAAATTAGTCTCTATGCATTTCTTTCCATTTAGTGGTGGCTATTTAGCTAACAAATAGAAGAATATTCAAAGAAAAATTCCAACAAAACATAAAGCAATTTTTATCCAATTTACACACATGCATGTAATCAGTCAATAGCGTGTTGAAGTTTGAAAAACATGGTTTAATTAGCTACTGAGATAACAGTCTATTTCTAAATATGATAAAGGAAAGCATGGAAAACTTACTTGATCAAATTTTTCTCTCAAAATACCCGTACTTGGTGATGCCTTCTTCACTTCAGCTATCAATCCAGCAAAGTCGTTTATATTAGTTCCAATATACTACCAAAGAGTCTGCTCAATAAGTTCATGGGGGAGTTCTTACGATTAATACTTGGATGAGTTTGATAGAAGCAGCAACAACACTTGGCAGAAAAAACTGATGGGATGAGCTTTGTTTGGTTGCATCAAAGAAACAAATTTTAGTTAGTAAAAAAGTTAAATCAACTGAAAGAGAGAAAGAGTTGAACAATAATCATAAGCTAAGATTTTTCACATTACAAAAAGCATCATTTTTTCTGACAACAATCTTAAAGTATAGTTTTAATCATTATCATTTTTTGAAAATTTCAATTAGATTCCCAAATCTAGCCTTTTTATAAACATAAAAAAACTGCAAAGTACACTTTTAAGCTGTCCAAAACATACTAATATTAATGTAATGATTGACAAATGCAAATGCAACATAAGATAGATTGAGAAAAATAGTAATGACTACAGAAAAAAGAATGCATGAAGGCAACATAAGAGAGATTTAAACAATTTCATTAATTTCAATTCAAAAGAAGAGATTGACATCAAAAGAAAAAAATTTATGGTGACTTGATATTTTAACTATATAAATTATAACTAATAAAATCCTACATAATTGAAGCATATACAGTATATAAATCTGAGCTATAATCCATTTATGTGTGTGAAAAAAACAAACTAATCAGTTAGCTCCAATACATTTTTTACAATGTAGCATTAAAATTCAGTTAGTTGCACACGTAGTAAATTAATTTTATTTATATCTCTAATAAACACACATCACAAAAATTGATAGAGCTTAAGAGCATATAAAAGGAACACAACAGATGGATTACAACTATATGCTTAAATTTGATTATTATATACAGAGAATGTAACCAATATATATCATAAATTAAACAATTGGTAAAAGAAGTTTCAATAGTATGTATACAAGTAATCTTTTTTTTATACATCACTCAAAGAAGTTGTTATATTTATCTCTACAAACTGTCATCCTAATTGAATTTTATCTATCTTATCTCCTTTTACATCCTCGATGAAAATATTTACAAGATCAAATCACTTATATTTTCAATTATTTCATCCCACCCCAAAGAACATATGATATGTTAAACTTAAAATTAATATTCAATCCAAAATAAACAACGATATTAATGTATGAAAAATAATAAATAATAAATTATATTTATGTAAAATACACTTTCAATAGCTCACTAGTTTTGAAGAATGTGACAACTGCTGCAATTACAGTGTTGTCAAAAATTCCCTTAAATTCAAACGAAACTTGCACAAGCAATAATCAAAACAAGCACACCTTGAATGATGCAGAGGTTAATTAAGAAGGAAAGAGTGTACATAGTAGTGGAAAATAATGGAACTAAGTTGCAATAGACGAAATAAGGAAGAAAGAGGAGAAAAATACCACACACTTGCTTGTTGTTCGAAGATGAGAGATGCATGGTTTAGGTGCTATGGTTTGCCGACAGTTCGAAGATGAGAGGTGTAGGGTAGAGCCATAGATTGAGCCTCAGATTGGTTCGTGTGGTGACTCTTTGAGGTGTCTGTAGTTTGAAGATGAGAGGCCGTTAGAGTTGGTTTCGATATAGGGGAAAACAAGAGAGGGTTGCGTGAAGAAGAAGAGAAGACGTTGTAGTTCAACGAATTCGAAGAAACGAGTGTAGGTTTAGAGAGAAGAAGAGACGAAGAGAACAGGGGCAGCGAGAGGGTTTCCTGAAAGATTAGGGTTGTGCAAAATATATTTTATTCTTAACGGTGGTTTCTATATAAACTGCTAGAAGTGAATTTAAAAAAATAAAATAAAATACGTTAAAGGAGGTTTATTTTATAAACCGTCGGGAATTAAATGGGGTTACAAAACCGTGGTTAAATTTATACATTTTCGAATGTTTTCATAACCGCCGTTAAGAACCCCCGCTATAATTCAACATTTTTGTAGTGTATTTAATATATATATATATATATATATATATATATATATATATATAATTTTAAATGTGTGACATTTCAAGTTTTTGATAATAATTTTCTTATTAATTCTTTGTAATTTATAGGTCCTATTGTGCAATGAGTCAAATGCAGTCTATTCTAACTCATCCATTTTTCCTTTTGATTTAATTTTGTGGGTTTCCCCAACTTCTTTTCATACCAAGTATCATTTATGAAAATTGCACTTTGAAAATTTTAAATTATATATTTGGGTTGCTCTTACTTTGGTTGCGTATTCTTTTACCCAAGTTATTTATCATGTCATTTATCAAATCCAACTTAACTTGAAAGTTTTTATTGTTCAAGGCTTCATTGAACATTTGTCGACTTCAAGATTATTCTCCTATTTCTATTAGTATCAATGCATCAATTTCATATGTAAGTTGAAAAGATGTTTCTTTCATGGAAGACGGGGAAATACAATGATATTCCCATAAGATACTATGTATCTCCTCAACCCCAAGCCTTTTGTTTGTTTAAGCTTCATTTTGAGTTCATTAAGGACTAACTTGTTATTTGGCGTTACCAACCAATTTGTTTGTAAATGTTATACTAAAAATACTCTATCTTCAAGTACAAGCTAATGTAGGAATGTTTCAAAGTCATTATCAATTAATTGTCTTTCATTATTTGCTATTATAGCATATCACAATCCATGATGACATATAATATTTTCCATGAGAATTTCTACACTTGTTGGTTGCGATTGTTGTTAGGGGTTTAACCTCAATCCATTTTTTAAAGTAATCAATGATATCAATAAAGAATTTTACTTCCCTTTTAGTAATGAGAAATAAATTGAGTATGTCGATTCCCCTTGTAGTGAAAGACCATGGTGTTATAATGTTGTATAGTTCTTTTGTGGAACGATAGACATTGATTTGAATCATTGGCATGCATCCCATTTCCATACAAATTCTTAAGGATCTAAATTTAGAATGGATCAGTAGTATACGATAACATCTGGGTAACCATGTTTTTGGCTCCATAATGCATTTTTCAAATTCTATTATGTGTTTCGATAATCATGTATTAAGTTTATTTTAAATCTAAACATTTAAAGCAAAGAAATTGAAAAAATCCTCTTTAATAAATTGTGATTATGTATAATGTACTTGGCATACATTCTTTTGACCTTTTTTCTTCATTAGCATGATTTAGTAGTATGTTATGGTAAATATATTATGGTGTCATCCATATGGATTTATTTGTGTTTATGTGGAAGTTATCATCATCATCATCCCAACTTTTAAGATTGTTTCTTGAACGAGCATCCTATGTTAGTTGGTTTTGAAGTACTTTCTAATTTAAATAAAATGTCATCCCTTTTATTTTGTTCTTTGGGTCATGTGTGGTTTCAAATTTTTTTCAAAGTTGTCAAATAAACCTTTGTTATATGATTAATACTTTTCCATGGAGAGCTCTTTAACTTTAAATTGTCCGAGACTTATGTTATTATGATCAACTTTGAATTCTTTTTACAATGATACATATTTAACATAGTTTCATACTTAGTCTGATTATTGGATGTTACAAATTCAAACCTAAGTACTTGTTCTAAAATGATCTCATTAGGTCCTTCAAGGATTACCCAAACCCCATTTTATTTTATGTTTGATTATCCATCTACGTTGAGAATCTACTAATCATATTTTTCTCCAAGTTGAGCTAACTCGACAAAGAATTTGACAAGAAATTTGGTCTTTATAGGCATTTAATTTTCATAACATAAGTCAAATTATGAGACCTTGAGTGACCAACCTATCATGTGTCTAACAAGTTCCGGTCTTTATAACATTTACTAGGTATAAGGGTAGTGTAGCATTTAGAGGGGACTTATTAAAATTGGTAGTGATGCAACATCTTGTATAAAATAATATATAAAATAACGTAACTTTTTGGGCTACTTTGGGAAAGAATCATGCCAACATGACAAATTTCTCATTTAATACGTGCACTTTTTTGATATTTTGGGACTCTTCATATGACATTGTAATTGTCTAGGTTTATCTCAATTCCCCTCTAAGTGATAATGAACCAAAGGAAGTTTCTCCTTCAACTTTGAATACATGTTTTGTTAGATCTTGTTGAGAAATCTCATATCAACTAGAGATATGATAAAAGTATAGTATATATGTGAGTACAAATTGGTTTTGTAAGGTTGAGTTTAGTATCTCACCATTTTTAAGATGGTATAAAAATGGTAAGATACCTAATTTAACCCTACAAAATTGGCTCAGTAAGATGAGGATTGTACTTACTTATATATTATAATGTTATCTTATCTTTAGTTAATGCGAGATTTCTCAATACACCCCCTCACATCGAGGAAGATTTTTCATCACACTCTTTCATATTGAGGATGAGTGGTCCAATATTGACCTGATAATAAGTAATTAAATCCATCACTATTAATAGTTATTGTTCCAATAATTCTAGAATTGACTCTGATATCATCTTAGAAATGGTAAGATACTTATCTCGATATTACAAACTGACTTAGTAAGGTGATGATTGTATTAACCTATATACTATAATGTTATTACATATCTAGTTGATGTGATATTTCTCAACAAATTTCATTGAATATGCATTGCAAATACATAAGATGTTCAAGCTATTGAAGTTGGTTGCAAGCTAAGATTGGAGCTAAGTTGTATTTAATGAATCCAACTATTCCTTGAAGATTCTTAATTGAAGATTTAATTGTGCTAAGAGAGTATGTTGTGTTGATTAGGATTAAATGTAAGTTTTTCTTAAGTGGTTTGACCTCTTAATCACGGTTAGAAAGCTATTTGAAATGTTTTAGAACTGATCTTGATAAGAGGAAGTTTTCAATTGATTAAAATGTTTTAATATGTTAAAATAATCTTATCCAAGTAATTTTAATTGATTAAATAATTATTTTAATTGATTAAAATTACTTAGAGTCATGAGTAGTTATGAGAATTTTGTTTTAATTGGTTAAATGGGATTTTAATAGATTAAAAAAATTTTATGTTTTAAAAAAGATTTTGAAGCTTTTTGTTTTAATTGGTTAAACGAATCTTTAACATGTTAAAACTCTTCTATATTTTCAAAAGTTTGAACTATTCTTTGTTAATATGTTAAAACAACATTTCAATCCATTAATTTCATGAGTAAGTAAAATTAATATATTAAAATGTAATTTTAATACATTAAATAAGTACATTCAAATGTATATAACTATTTCATTTTCAATCAATTCAAGATAGGATTTGAACCTTAGTTTCAAAAATCATTTTCAATATTGAGAGAGTTATTACTGAGCTAAATAATCTTTATTGGAGCTTTCTTTGGATGATCACAAGATCATTCTTTTGGCATGAAAGAAAAATATAGTCTTGGACCGAATTTTTCTTCTTTTGTTGTGCTTAATGTGTTCTAAGTGAATTTGTTCATTGTATAACTTTAATTTTCATGTTGTATTGTTTGGACCTAGTGCAGTAACCGGAAGTTACTAGGTTAGAAATCCAATCTTGTAGAGTTCAAGAGTTGGTTTCTTGTATTGGTTGTGTGTTTACAGGGATGACAATTAAACCCGTACCCATGAGGACCGACCCGTCCCCGTCCCGAGTTTGATGGGAAAAACTCGAGTTGATCGGGGACGGAGGCGGGGACGGGTTTTCCCCGCTTTAAAAAGTCGGGGGCGGGGACGGGGATGGGTAATGCAATCCCCACACTGACCCCGACTCCGTCCCCGCCCCGACTTTATATTTAAATTTAAATTTTAAAATATTAATATTTTAAAAGTATTTCATTTTCTTTTTCTATTACATATAAAGTCATTTTTTTATATTTCACCAATTTTTTTTCTTCTACCCACTTTTTAATTTTTTTGTCTTTTTTAATCTTTTATATCAATTAATTTATTACATTATTCTTTCTCTTATCTTTCGAGTTTTTCACATTTTCTTAATCTTTCTCATCAATTTGTTTTCTTTTTTCAATCTTTTCAACCAATTTGATGAACACAGTTAATTTTTTTTATTCTTTATCTTTTTCTAAATATTTTACATAAATCTTAGTAGGAACTAATATTATTTTATTTATAATTTATATTTATTAGGTTTTATTATGTCATATTTTTTTATATTATTATTCTTATTTATCATATATCAAATTTTATCTTAATAAAATATTTGTATTTTAAAGGATTAAAGGAATTGATAATTTAAACTTTTATTACTTCGAATAAGAATTAACTTATTAAATATTTCCTTATAAACTATATATTTCATATTTTTAAATGACAACTCAAAAATGAATTAACTTATATATATAATCAAATGTTTGAATACAGTATTATAATAATAATGTTATAAATATTCAAATATTTAAATACAGTATTATAATAATAATAATGTTATAAATAAAAAATGATTAAATATTTCTCACTACAAGAAAAACAATAAATAGTGACTCGAAAATT